AAAAAAAACGAATTAAAAAATTCAAATTTTCCAACTAAGAATGAAACCATATTAGTCCTCTGGTAAACCCGTATTTTAGAGAAACTGATAAAAGTTTTTGATTAGATTTTTTATATTCACATAAAACCTTATTAGTGTATGTTTAATCCTCTAATTACCTTTCTTCTAAATACTGTTCACAAGGCCAATGTGGTGTACTTCTAGGCTGGTAAAACTTTTTTTTTAAAGTATCTAACAAGCACCTCGAAGAAAAGCACCTCGAAGAGTTTACAGACAGGAGTTACAAATGTCGAGAGTTTACCTGAATAAAGAACAAAAAACAGGAACCAATACGATGCCAAATGTGACAATCAGCTACTTCTCCTGTGAAGCAATTCCCCTGCTGGTACAATAGAATCACAGCAAATTCATGGACATATAGAATAACTAGATTGGTGTAAAAAAGTTCTACTGGATTTGCATAAAAGTACCTGAATTAATACACAGAACTGGCTACTTGACGCTTTTGAATCACAGCAGTGTCCGTTAAATACATCACCTGATTTTCAGTGTTAGCAGTGCTCACATTTTTTTTTCTTTTTGTTGTACGCGTCTGAAATGATTTTCATGAGAAGTACCAGTCTAGTCATTCTATTTTTAAAAAATGCACGTCCAATCAGCAGCTGGTATGGGGAAGACAGTGAGCGAGAGTTGGATTGGCTGGGTATCCATACCTTATTGTGTGATGTAAACAATACTGAGTAAACGTGATTGGCTGATTCAGTGTTTGCAGGAATAGATTGCCTTTGAAGACAACATTTGTGCTGCCATTAGAGTTTTGGTTATGGCTGAAAGACACCGGGGAGGAGTCGTCACTTTGAAAAGGGTGATGGAGCCTGAGGAGGAAGAGAAGAGGAAGAGACAGAGGTCAGCTGATCACCGGAAAATGATGTGTGTTAATATTAACTTATCAATTAGAGATCACTTACCAATTCTAACTATTTAAAAAGTAGAATGGCACAACCCTAGAGACAATAACCTAGTTCCTACTGAGAAGTAAAGGAAATAAGGAAGTTGTCTTGAAGTATGGACTCTGCTGCGTTGCATTCTAGTTTGTTATAAAACACAGTTCTCACCAGTGGAAAATTAAGATCCATACAATGGATGGTTGCAATTATAAAGAAAGTAAAAACAAGAAGATGAAGAACCCATTACATCCTTCCACCAAGTTATGGTGAAACAGAATTTCCCTTAATCCTGCCAACAAAAAGACAAATCAGCCAACAGACACTAGTAAAAGAAAATAAACACTGTGGTGGAGTTATACAAAAAGACAATACGCTGAATATTTCCTTCTGTCCTGAAGTTTGTATTAATGTTACATTGTGATGAAATGTAAACACTAAATTGTGAATGTCACCAATATTGACTTGGTATATGTGGCACTGTGCGGAATCACTTACACTTGACCAAACTTTATAAAAATCCCCTTTCACACACTTGAAATTTGCTCTAGACACAACAGGTAATCTAACATAGTGAACATTTAATTTGCTTTATTGCTTTATGGAAGTTTTATTTTGATTTATCGCAAAAGCCCTCTCTCTGCTGGGGAGCTTATTAGTCTGCAGCCATGTAAGAAAGTTAAAAACAGAAATTCAGAGAAAGTGTGAAACGATGCAATATAAATGTTTCTTGTACCAAAGGGGATGTTGTGCGAGAAGGTATATCTTAAGTCTTTTTTAAAGATTAGGAACTAAGAGGCGCCCTTATTGCAGCTACAGTATAAATAAATAAAATAAAATAAAATAAAGTAAACTTCAGCAACTAATAAATGCATCTGAGTGTTTATTAAAATACATAAGGCAAGACTCATTTCTACATTGTCCTTAAATGAACTGATGGGAACTTCCTGCCTGGAAGACTGGAAATCAATATTACATTTTACAGTAAATCCCGCAGCATAATGGCTTAGGAAAATAAACGAGCATAGCATTAAGTTGATGTGAATGTTTTGTAATTAAATATATCTGTGTGATGAGCATCTGTGTGTGTCAGGTATTTTTTGCCATATCTGAAGTGTTCAATGTTACTGCATGGGATCAGTGAGAAGGTGAGACTGACCAGAGTGAAGCTGTCGTAGGTTTTCGTCAGCTCCTCCATTCGATACTGTTCCAGCACCACGACTCCTGCCAGGGTCGGGCTCTTAGCTCGGGCACAGTCCTCACAGTGCACCACGTAGGTCTTCTTACTGCTGCTGTCGCTGGTCACGAAGAGCAGGTCAAACACCTCCACCTGGACATCAACACATGTGTGATGCATCTACACCACATGCACAAACGCACAATTCACTGAACTGGTGCAGATCCCGGTCTAAACCTGCCTGTTGGGAATGGGCTGTTTGTTTGGCCTGTGGCGATGCTTGTTGCACCTTTTTGTAAAAGTGACCTGAAGTAATTGAGCTGTGGCAAGTTGGGATGGATTGCAGGACTCAGAACCCTGAAGCTGGCCCACCACCCAAAGAGCTGTTCACCTAAAGTTCAACAAAGCTCAGTACACAGAACCCTGAACTGGAAAATCAGTTATCGTTGTCCTGAATGCACTTTTATCTTTATCGACAACGTCACTTACGTTGATGAGTACCAGCCGCTGCTGCTACAGAGTTGCTGATGGCATGTTTATTCAAAGTTTATTAATAAAAGAACACATCACGTGTTGAAATTGCACCAAATTGGACACTGCACTTCCTTGGGCCCTAAACAATACACATGCCAAGTGTGACGCCAGTAAGATGAATGGTTCTCCAGCTATGTGTTCCACATTATTAGATTAGGTAAGATAGATAGATGGATGACAGTGAGAGACCGGGGGGGAGGAGTAACTCACATCACACTCGTTGCAGTAGTATGCCGGCTCATCCTTCACGCGGCTCTGGTAGGAGATCTTCTTCCCTGCAGCCACCAGCTGTTCTCTTAGAATCTGGATGTGCTTAATAGACTGCATCAGGCAGTGTCTGAGAGAGAGTGGAAAGTAAATATAAAAACAAACAAACACACACACACACACACACACACACACACACACACACACACACAGAACTCAGAGACAGATCTTACTTGATCATCTTGAATGTTTCCTGATCATTGATCTTGATGGTTCGAGCCACATTCCAGGAAACGTGGATCATGGGAACGATTGACTTAACCTTCTTCACCTCGTTCCACTCAAAGCGCTCCAGGGCGAGTTGATACTGGTATGCTGTGCGAGGAGAGAACACAAACAGTGGTGAGGCTGAACACGGGCAGCGCATTAAAAACAGCATATAATATATATACGAGACAAAGAGCAACAAATTCTTATATTGTTTCAAGCTGCAGTTTCAAATGAGCTGTTCTTCCTCGTCGTAACTTACAGTTGAGTGGTCCCACATTCCAGGCGATGTTGTTGCACCAGCCCACGGCCTGGACCCAGTGCACAGTCCCTGCATTGATCCACACCAGGTCGCCCGGCCTCTGGATGAAGCGGTACACAGGGATGTTGGAGCTGTAGAGGTCCTCCAGCACTGGCCACCAGGACCCTGTGAGGTAATCTACCCCATGCCTGAGCGGAAACAGTTGGCAGCAGTGCATGTTAGCATGCACACACACTAATATTTACCACTGCGTCATTTGTTAAATCAAACCGCCCCATCACTCACTTCTCACAGAATCTGTTGATATCTTCCCAGTAATGCTCGTGGACGGCAAACCACTCGCAGTCACCAGGTCCAATGTTGATGTTGACGGAGCAGAAATTGTTGTTCTCTTGGTGACCTGGTAATAAATGCAAAGTTTGTGAATTCAAAAGTTTGCAACGTCAAAACAGGCGTGCTAATAAAATCTGAGCATTACTATACATACACATTAGAAACCAGAGGTGGAAAAATAACACACATTCTTTACAGTTAGTTGTCTTAAAAAGTTAAAGTATAAAAGTACAAGCTCTAAAATTTAATCAAGAGGATCATTTCTAACAGCTGTATCTGTCCAAAGCAAACTGATATAAATCAAAGACTATTTAACTTAAACCACTCACACTCATAAAATACAATAAACTAAAAACAGGTTGAAGCAAAAAATGATTTGCGAGCCTGAAGAATTACCCAGGATGAAATGTATACAGTATTTAATCAAGTTCCTTAATTTGAATAAGGCAAGGTTACATCTGTTGTGTGTGACTGGCACTTCAAGGAATCGTCTTCTCTATGTTACTGTCCATTTAGAGTTGACATCTGTCTCGATGTTGGGAAGTCGGCATTCGATGATGCAAAAATGGATAATTCCCATCAAATGCATTAAAACAAAAATAATGAGCCTGTTTTGAAAATTTAAGGAGTAGAAACACAGATATTTGTTTTAAAATGTAGAGAGTAAAAAGTAAAAATCTTCAGAATATTAAATACTCATTACATTAAATGTAAAGTAAGTAAGTGAATAAAGTATTTGTACTTCCCACTTCACACAACATACACTCACCTGGGGTGCGGCTGCCCGGCACCTTCATGTAGAGCTGGACAGTGTTCATGCCCAGGATGGTGTGACCGACATGACTGAGCATGTTGTTGCTGGACTCCACTCTCATGAAGGCCGGCAGCTTCAGCAGCTCCTGCAGCTGGGGCTTCCACCTTATTAAAGAAAAACATGAGGGGTCATGTGAAACAACAATAACCCGAGGGGGCTCATGCTAGAGCGGGCAGATTTACAATAATCTCACCTTTTAGGGTCTGAGAGATCAATATTGGTCCCAAATTTAATGATCTTTCCAGCAGATTTCTGCTCTGAGCTGGAAGGAGAGAACAGAGTCTGAGGTGAGTAATGTTCAAAACAGTGAAACAGTGAATTCAGTACAGACAAAGCACAGTTTCGAGCTAACCTGGGCGTGCTGATGGCAGTTGAGGGGGGACCTCCTTTACTGTTGGCTAACATCAGGACAGCTTTTGCGGCAGCTGATTGGTCTGAGCTCTTGGTTTGCTCTCCTTCATCTTCATTCTCGCTCTCCTTCTCCTCCTATAACACATCTACATGAGCTTAGCTGACAGGTTCTCACCATGAACAGTGGCTTTAGTAAATGCTTTAAAAGTTTTATATTTGCTTCTTTTAGGCACAATGGTCATTAAACCTCTATCTTCAGGTTTGGTTTTGCAAGTGTCCCGTTTAGGGATGGTGGGTATGTTTTTGAGCGTGGACTCTCAGTTTGAGAGCAGGAATTATTGATTTCACTTTCAGATTTTTTCTCACTCAAAAATAATACACAAAAATGTCCCACCATCATTGTGGGTGCATTGGATTTACCCGATTTATTGTATATGCCATTAACCTGGTAACAGTAACCGCCCATACAGGACTCTTAACACAGGACTATTTCACTTGTCATTATTAAACCTGGTGTTCTGTTGGTTGGAGAATTTAAAGGAAATGTCTGAGTGCAAGCGCACAGTTCGAGCACAAGCAAAGCCAATCTAAAGCATAAGCAGGGCCTATGTGATTGTGAGCACAGGGTTTTGAGTGAAAGCAATACCAAATCCGAAAGTGAATGATCAAAGCAAATCAGTCCACCAAACACACACACTACTTTTGCAAATATATTGAAATTACTTGAAATTATGGAACCCTGATGTGGAAATTTCAAGAAAATTTATGAATTCCACAAATTATTTTCAATCACTTGTACGTGTCTTAAGACCTTTGTTCACAGGTGTGGTTCTTGAATGTAAAGCACACTCTCCAGGTTTCAGATAAGTCTTAATACAAGTGTGCGTGTGTGCATACTTATGCGATGAGGGAAAATGTCTACCTGCAAGCTCTCCTGGAAGCTGGAGGCCTGGTACTGGGCGTATTTGGCGATGGTGGTGTGTGAGCGGCTGCTTTCGCAGGGCCAAGTTTGCGCCGAGCCGTTGGTATCCCAGTTCTCATCAGCAGGCTGCTGCACCTGAGTCCTCACTTCCACTGCATGTTCTGCATTGGCCTCCACAAGAGATTTGGTGGAGAACAGACCAAGGTCTGCAAGAAGGCGAGAACAAAGATAAAGCAAATTCAAAACACACTGAAACATGTAAATGCATTCAAACACCAATTCTTGATATGGTTTCCCAGTAGCCCTATCAATGTTAAGGTTAAGCAAACGTGGTCTGAATTCAAATATGGATCATAAAGACATGTGATCTGTTCTATGTTTGTGACATAAGACTGGTGACAGTTATTTAAGATACAGCAGCAGTGCTCAGAACCAGCCTCGGCCTTTAGGCTAGTTTCTAAAATCTTTATTTGCAAAAGAGAGAAAAGAAAAGATGCAGCATCCGCATCAAACATAATGAGGAGAAAGTGTTGTCAAAAGAGCCCACATGTTTCTATATAATATCAATATCTATAGACATTTCACATTTCTATACAGTCCACACACTGCACATCTATAATAATTACAAATGCTGCATGTAGTTGAGCTGTACGAAGAAGCCCTGTTTTCACCAAACAATAAACAGAGACTCCTTATTAAAAGTGATGTTTTACTTATCAACGACTAATCCTGCTGGGCTAAATAGAGTAATTGGAGTGCAGTAAAGTAGCTGAGATGAGTGTGGTGGAAAGACTTACTGAGGCGGAGGGAGCCAGCAAGACCTCTGATGACAGTGACAGCATTTTTGGGGTCAGTGCAGAACTGAAGCAGAACTGGAGAGAAGGCGTCCCTCTTACTCTCCAACTGCAAACACAACACAGTGGACGCAGTAAAAAGGGATCAATGTATGTGTCTTTGGAGCAATTGAAAAACACAGTTTAAAGGATATGTCATGCAGATGTCATGAAACAAGATATGATAAAGGCACTTCTCTCTGCTGCCATCGGTTCAATGATTCTAATTCAAGTGAATTCAAATGACGCAAATCATTATGATCGTTAAAAGAGCTGTTATCCATAAAAAATAAGCATCTGACGCAATGCTAGCAGCTCTGCGAAACTGTGTTTAGTCATGAGAAAATATATCAAACAACTAAAATGTTGGAATGCCTGTTCCTAATTTTATGGCAATAAATCCATCCCTCTGAACCACAAATCTATCTATCTATTAATTCCAGGAATCTCTATCTATCTATCTTCGGGTTTGCCTGCAGCTGATAGCTCAAAAGCTGCTCATCTTATTTGCTCCACACTTGGCATGTGTATTATTGGCGGCCAAGCAAGATGCAAGCGTTCAGGGCATACCGAGTCAAGCTTCACCAAACTTTGAAAAAACAGGTGAACAGCTCTTTGTGCAGCAGTGGTGACCCAGCGTCAGGTTCTGCAGACCGAGTCCAGCAGCCGCTCTTTACTTTGCAGCTAAGGGCGCTTTTACAGTTTCAGAAAGAAAGCTGCAAACAGCATCAACACAGGCCAAGCAAACAGACAGCTTCAGAACAGGCACTGCACTAGTGCTCGCATGGTTAAAAACAAGAATTTAGGAGTCAATATTTGATAATGTTACAAGTTAGGCTGAGCTACTTTGTGTGGACTCACGTAGATACTTGGTGTCGGAGGGTTGAGCTTTTCTCGAGGAATGGGCGTCTTGACGGCAATGTTAGGTTTAACGGAAAATGAGGAAAGCAGGTATGACTCCTTGAACTTCCCCTTCACCCTCGTCCCCCTGGAAAAAACAACACAATAAAACACTTCAGTCAGCAAGACACCTACCTCTGAAATGTTCCCATCACAATCCCCACCAGGCAAGGAGCATCTTTCTTTCCAAGCACTTACTTGCAGGCTCTGATCACTTCTGTTGCTGTGTTGTCGATGTTGATCTTTGAAAGTGGGACTCTTTGCTCCTCCACCTCTGAAATGTTGAACGTTTGTCTTCCAGCGCTCTCCACTTTGATCAGCAGGATCTTTAGCTCCTTACATAAGCCCATGGACAGCGCCTTCAGTTTCAGTGGATCGACTGGAGCTAACGAGCGGGGAGGTTTGCTTGCTGGTGTTGAGACACATAGTTTGGATGTATTGATTGTTAAAGTTGACGCTGCGTTTGGAGTCTTGGTCTCTGTGTTTCTAGCTGCGGAGGATTTCTTGTTTTCTAACTCAGGGACCACTTCCTTCTTCTCCTCTGTTTCTACCTTGACCTCAGCGCTCCCAGTGTCTTCCTTTTCTCTCTGGATGTCCTTACCGCGTGGGGATTGATTTTCCTGAAAAATCTGGCCCTTCCTACTATCTTTGAGAGGTCTGGGTGAGCTTCTGGAGATGCCTCTCTCCAAGGATGAAACAGCCTTCTCTTCCGAATCCTGAACTTCATTTACTTTGTTTTTGAGACAGATGACACTGCTTTCCTTTGTCTTTATCTTAATCTTGATCTCTCCTTCTTTTCCTCTGCCCTTATCATTTTGTTTTCTTTTTCTGTCTGCACATCTGTGTTCAGGCTCCTTGGTTCGTCCTCTCTCTTCCTTGGTGGAAACTTTGAGAAGGCTGGTGAGAGAGGCTGTATCTGTGGTGGTCACTCTCAGCTCTGCACTCAGTGACCCATCTAGAAGAGATGAGTCAATTCTCTCAGGGAGGATCTCGGTATCTTTACCTTCTTGTTTCACTTTCACAACTGTCTCAGGCTCCTGCACTGGGGTGTCTGCGGCAGGCTCAGTTCTCAGTTCTGTCGGACTGTGGGATTTCACAAGCGAGTGTGAGGTAGTGTGAGTTGGTGGTTTGATATTAGCAGGTTTAGAGGATGCTATGGGATCTGACTTGGGGGAGAAATCGTGAGGCTCCTGGCAGTGTATATCTGGCCCAAATGCAAGAGAAGAGGAGTACTTCACCCCTCTTGCAGTGCTGTCTGGAGGGCCACCAAATGGGCCACCTCGACACGAGACCCTCTGGCCTCCGAGGAAGGTGGCCAGGCTCTTGAAGACGTCGTCCAGCCCTGCTTTATGGTGGCAAAGCTCACTGAGTAGAGAGCCAGATGTTTCCCCACTGCTATCCACGTCTTCTTTTGTTTCTTCCTCTGCAACTTTGGTTGGACAAGGCAGATCACAGATTTCAGACTTGTCGCTGTTGTCGGCTCGTAAACTTTCACAAGGTTCCTTTTCTATATCATCAGAACTGTCGTTGTCTACAGGGGGAGGAGAGAAGCACTGAGTAGGGCTGGGCTGGAGGACAGGTCGACTTATCACTCCCTTTTCTAACTCGTCCTCATCCTCTTCCAGACTCGATACTGGAGAGCCCTGCCAGCTCAGAACAGGAGGAGTGTTCGCAAGATTGTCTCCCATTTCCCTCAAATGTCCCATCACTGCCACGGGCTGGAGGTCTGGGGCATTGAGAACACCTCTCTGCCCGCCGTCTTTGCCGTGGATGGGCTTCTCTACGCTCACGGAACACGCTGCACTGAGAGGTGCTAAGGCTTTAAACAAAAGTGAAGGGAGTGTATCGTCAGGCTTTCCTTTTGGTCTGCAGTACGACTGCGATGAGACAATGGTGGGCCTCTTGCTGGTCTGGTTGGCGCTGGCTTTCCTGGGAGACGTCATTGGTAGATTCTTGACAGGGAGTTTCTGAGGACCGCTGTTCTTTTTGGACAGTTTATGATTTTCAGATTTTAAGGGCAGCTGTTGTGAAGTGCATTTAGAATGAGGAGTATTTGCAAACGGCCTGTGTGTCCCCTCCGCTCGTTCACTCCTCGCCCTGTGCTTGTGTTTGGGTGTTGACTGTTGACTCTCTGGGGTCAGAGTCTCCATCCTACTCACTTTTCCCTCTGCTGAAGCAGAGATGGAGGTGGACATGTCCCTTTTTGTGATTTTCAAGCCTAACTTTACCTCCCTTTTGTCTGCTTTATCTCTTTTCCTTTTTCGCTCACCCAGCCTTTTGTCCTCTTTTTTCTTCCGCCGTTTTCTTTCTTCGCCTTTTCTGCTCATTTTAACAATATCCCCTTTTCTCTCTTTCTTCTCCAGCTTATCTTTTTGTTTGCACTCAGGTTTTGTGTGTTGTTCCAGCTCCTTATCAAGCTTGTTTGCTCTCGATCTGCTGTGGGGGAGCTGTCGTGAGCAGAGCGGCTGTGAAGTCTTTCTGTACTTGACGTCTGAAAACCTGGATTTTGGACCACTGTGGGATGTAAGGGATGTCGTGGATGTCAGGCCAGGTCTGCTTGTGTGAGGGGGACTTCCATGGAGTTTCTGCTCTCCACTGAGGCCGGGACTACACTGACGAATAATTGATGGATCTTTTCGGCCAATAGGCACTGTGTATGAAGAACTAGAGAGAGCACATGGACTGCTGGCAGTGGACCCTTCATCTTTAGGGCTGCAGAGGAGGGATGAATAAGGAGAGCCTGCACCAGAAAAATGGGGGAGGGCTGGATCCCTTAAAATGCTTCTCTGATGAGTGCGTTGAGGTTCCTGAAAAGTTAATATTAAATCCAATTAGACTGCGGTTCAGGCATACAACTCTCAATGAGACATATTGACACAGTGGCCATCTTCCTTTGACATAAACCATATAAACACAGAGAATCGCACAAAGTGTTTTCTTTTCACTGTTTCCCAACTGATCAGCAACTGAATAGACGATGGATAGTTAAGCTCTGTTTCACAGTAAACAACATATTTGATATCTCATCAGCTCATTGGACAACAGCATACAACCAATTCCTAGCCATGAGGGCTGATTTATACTAAAATATCAATGCATATCTTGGACAATTTTATTAAGGCTTTAAGGAAAAATGTATGTAAGCAAGCTAGCAATGTAACATTAATGTCTTTCTACCTGATCTCAGAAATATTCTGGTTAAATCCGTAGCTTTGTGTCACATTCTGCTCACTGGAACACATTTCTGGGTAATATTCACACTGTTTACATCCACCTAGCATTAGATTACAAGCTTGATTTCAGGGCATTTTACTTCCAGGCTCTGGTGTCCCAGAGGTGCATCAATATGTTTCAGGATCAAAAATTGGCTTTCCTTTTGTATCAAATAATATCCTATCTCTGGATACTTGTCTTTTCAGTAGCTGATCAGTCAGGGACCTGTGAAATGAAAACAGTTTGTCTGATTCTCTGTGTTTAAATGACATATAAACCAGGATCACAGCAGCACAACATTATTCTGTTGATAGCAATATTTGAGCTGACTGTCATAAAATATGTTATGCTGATATTAATATCTTTACAGATAGAAATATAATATAATATAATCTACTAAAACTGCCCTAAACAAACTCCACCAACATTGATTCAGATGTAAAATAACTGTGTTCATGCTGTTTAAGTGTTTATTTCTTACTGTGCTTTGTTTGTGGTGATGGCTCCGTGAGTCCTCTGGAGGGTGTAGTGGCGGGTTGTGCTGTGGAGCTCTGGGGTGGCCTGTGTGCCGTTGGTAGTGGTAATGATGGTTTTGGTGGCTGTAAGGCACACGGGTGTGGTCTGCTGGTGAAGACAGGTTTTTCCGCTCGACCTTCCCTCTGCTTCCGTGATGTGGTGGTCTGCTGCCACAACTCTGGTTTAGAGCTGCCGGGTTATTGTTATTGTAGCCATGTCCTCCAGCTCGAAGTTTAGAGGTTTCCTGTGGAGTAGAAATCAAATACTCCACATTTTTGCATATCTGTAATTTTCAGTCTTCATCCACAGATGATAGAACCGACCTGTTGCTGTGTTGCTGAGGTCCTGTGGTCAGAGTGGTGGCAAGGACCCACCCTGTCGTTGAGAGGCTTCCAGTCATCTTGGTGACGGTGGTGGTGGCGAGGTGGTGATGGGGCATGGGCAACTAAAGGTAAATGTCTTGATCCAGGATGAGATGACTGAACAGAGAAGCATAGATATCCTGTAATACTAGATGGGGTTATACCAACGGGTGGTGCTGTTGCACAGAAATAAAATGTGATTTACTAAGTCAAGAAACTTTACCTGATCAGGACCAGAGTCCCTTCTCCTCTTAGCAGGACACTCTTCCCTTGGAGATAAAGGGTGTGGTGGGGGTGGACTGTGCTGGTGTAACTGGTCTCGCCGCTGATGGTGGGCCGGTCGTTTCCAGGGCCCAGGTCTGTTGTTCATCATCCTGCCTGGGAAGCTCCTGTGACAGTCTGAGGGGGCCCATCTCTCTGGCGGAGACTGGAGCTCTCTGTTGTTGCGATGAAGGCGAGGACCCCCATGCTAACATACAACCACAATCAGAAAGTCAAACGATGACACACTTGTAGCTCCATCAACAATATCAAAGATAATATCGTTCCTGATCGGCAGGGCTCACCACAGAGTTGCTGACGTTATTGTCCCAGGTTGCGTAGCGCTCTCCGGCTGCGGTTGGATAACCATTGTTGTTGGCAGTTCGGTTGTGGAATGAGCGCGAGGAGTTGTGATGCCAGTTCTGGGCTTCAAACAGCTGCTCTTTGCCATCCCATAGACGTGGTTGCTGTCTGTGCCCCTTTGAGATACCTTTGTCCTGAACATGGTTGACTGTTCTCTCCCCCCTATGAAGAGCACCAAATTAACTTAGCAGCAAGTACTTCAAATAATGGTGCCACAGCACAAATGGGACTTCATACATCAAGTGAGTATGCCTATCAAGTTTTGTACTGCTCTGATTATATAAACTATTATAAATAAACTGTTTCACTCACCTGTTATAGAGACGACTTGATGGTGAATGATGTGATTGATTGCGCCCTCCTTGGCATCTGTAATATTAGACGATCATGTGATGATATCACAAATCTGAGAGCCTTCTTGCTACGTATCTTGCAACAAGTCAAACTTGCTTGTTTCTTCCTGACTGTTGATTTCTCTTTATGCTCTTTCTTTGAATCTCTGACTCAAGCATAACTCAGTGGTGATGGGATCATCTCTTTAACGGTAGCGAGTCATGAACCATGATAGATATCAAACTGTAAAGGAGGAATTTCTCTCTGACTCGATAACCGCTCACTCAGTTGAGTCAATGAGACTCGACTTAAGTTTTTAAATGAACTTGATTCCTCAATATTTGACATTGGTTCATTTCCTCTACTTTAAATAAGGTATATATTGTATATTAAAGTCTAATTAGACATTTAACCGACCTATAGTACATGTACATGTCAGAGTTTTGTACAAAGTTTTTTTTTTCCAAAATTATCAAAATAATCATTAGAGTTTAGTGTCTCTTTGAGAGTCACAATTGTTTCTGTTTCCAAAAGCCACAACCTGACACACATTCCTTGCAGTTAAAACCACCACCTGCTGGAGTTACGTTGAGGTTTTTCTCTCAGCTGCAGCTTGAAAAACGTTATGGTTACGTTCACCACAGTCGTGCTTGTTTAAACTGCACAGATGGGCTCACACTCACTGCTGCATCACATTTTCAGTTAATCAGCCGGGAACATGAAAGGGTGCTTATCTTAAATCAACCCAGACAACAAAGGCTCGAGTCCCACCTGCTGAAATGACCCTCGCTGGGGCAGTTCACCCTCACTCCCAGTCTCCCACTGAGCTTAATTTGTTTTCAGGAGGGCTTCAGCCTTTTTTTGGCACTTTTTAGCTGATCTTCACAACGTAAGAACATAATCCATGATCAGTAAAGACATAAAATAGGTTATTTTCACTGCATGTGAAACATATATGTGCCCCTGTGAATGGGCTGCTGCACTTTCAGAAATTAAATGACGACACTCATATTTTTTTTTACATATGTTGATGGTGCTGCTGACTGACCTGTTTGTGTGGCTCCAGAGGTGACTGTTCACAGGAGCCCATTGTCCTCTGTTAGGACCTCCAGCTGGATAGGAGTCCCATGTGTTACGGCCAGAGTACAGCTCTGCTGGGTGATACATGCAGCCTGTAACACAGACGTGGTTTCATGTGTATGATGTTATGTTGTTAATAATTAAACAGAAAAAATCTCATTCATTGTAAGTCTGAGAAGTAGAAGCGGAAGTCTTTAGTTCGTAATTCTTACCCTTACACAATGTGGAACAACATCAAGCTGTAGTTTCAGTTTCTGAATTTAAACTCTTCAACTCGCTGACTTATTCTACAAGGGAAAAAAAGCCCTTAAATGGAGTAATCCCTTATCAATTAAAGTAAAATACTTCAGTATAAATTACAGATGAACTCATGCAGGCTTATATTTGGGGTTTGAGGACACGTCAGTAGTGAAAACCAATTATCTATGTAGATTTTTACTTCTGTAATACTGTAAAGTATTGTGGTGCACATAGTGTATGATTGCATTTGAATAGACAGACAGACACACACACGTGCAAACAGACAGACATAGAGACATGTTGTGAAGTTACCAGTATTGGTCTGTGTTTGGGAGGCCCTCCACTTCACACCTGAGAGCAAAACAGGCCTGTGGACAAGACACATGGTTGAGAGATAAATTCTGTCTATGACTAGAGAGAGAGAGAGATATGAACATGACATTTAAAACATGTCTTCACAATAACTTCTTTTCTTCTGGCTTACATCGTTGTCAGTCTGTGATTGACATCAGCACCAAAGTGTCACTTATTTGTGTATCTTTAAAGAAAATGTGATTTTCCTGGTGCTGTATTTTCTGCTGCACTGTGTCTGCTCAGAGGTCCTATCATCAGGCAGCCAGAGCTGCATTGTGCATTTAGTCTCTCTCTAATCCCTACTTCCCAGCAGCCACCACAGCCAGTGGCCATTCAGTGATGGAAACACATGGCAGGAAATACGAGGGACTGTGGCAACCTCCCTTTAAGAAGAAAGAAAAAAACCATCATGGCAAGGAGTGCTGCTATAGAATTGATCTTTCCCCATGAGCCCTGATTTCTTAGTTCTCAGAGAGAGTTGGGTTTTCAAATCAACACTGAAGCTCCATCTTCTCCATCTATGTTTATTCCTTTCACTTGCTTCAAGTAAAGAAACTTCCAGAGGCACAGTGACTTCTTGCTGAGAACTGCACCACCTTATCAGCTCAGGTGTTCAGGTCAGGCTGGTTGTGTCTCTGCAGAAATCCCTGTTGTTCTCACTCTCATTTTTATTTTATCTTCCCTCTGTTGAAAACAGAATTGTTTCTTCAACCTCTCCAGTCTTACTGTCTATACTGCTGCTGCCAAACACTTCAGCACTGAGTTTGCAGGTCAGTGTTGCATGCTGAAGGGAGCACTGCTGCACACAGATAGGCTGCACCTCTACATGCATTCATTTGACCACTTACCATGTGATACATGTTTTTTTAATCACTCTGCAGGTTTGTTCCATAAGGCAGGACTTATAGTTGTGCTACAATAACCTCTCTGTGAGTGAGTGAGCCACATGTAAGTGAGCAGCCTCTGTGAGCATCCATCTCCAACCAGTTGCTAGAGCAACTGAAGCCAGACAGTTCTTACTGCCGTGGCTTTAGGCTTTTTGGAGTCAGCTGCATGGAGATTTATTTTTAGAGCAGAAGGAAGACATGACATCCTGCATGTACATGCAATGTTCACTACTGCATAGGGTCAAGTAAAATAAGGACTCTACCCTCACATAGAGCACAGTATTCAATCACTGGCTATATGAATATGTACAATAGATTTAAAAAAATGTTGTGTTGTGTTCCATTAAAATCTGTTTCTCGATGTTTTCTTTAATCTTCCAATACAATCTTTATCATCACCTCTGCCAAGGTCTGTTTGTTTGTAAGTTTGTATGTTTCTTTATTTGTTTGTAAGCAACATTATACAAAAACTACTGGAGGGATTGTCACAAAAAATTGTAGAAAGATGCGATATGGGTCTAAGAAGGTTCCGTTGAATTTTAGTGCAGATCCGGAACAGTATTTTCTTCATGAAAGAAAATGGTGGATGTTTAGGGGACCTAGATTCATGAGTGTGTGAAAATTGGTGCAGAGATGGATCTATAGGGAATTAAATGTGGTTTCATACCCTCTACTGAGAACCATTCTAGATGTAGAATACTTTGCTTTCTTTGCTCAGGGTCTTGGTTGGATCAATTTATTATTCCATGTTTGGATTCGTGTCCCAAAATGGCAGCTTATGCTTCTATCACATCACTGTCAATCATCTGCTGTGTGACAGTCATTGTCATTTAATTCATGCTAATGAAAAAAACTTGCTTTCACTGTTCATGCAACATTAAAAATGTTTCGCTCAGCCAAGAAAGGACACACCTCAGCATGCTTCAACCCCGAGCTTTGTAACACACACAGCAAATATAGACCATCTGATGCAGACCCTCCCTGTTGCACACACACTTTTGTTACACTGCACCGCAGGGGAGCTGTCAGTCACCAGCAGCTTACATCTCACTCTATACACAACAATGGCCCAGATGCTCCAATATTTAACCCCTTCCTGAAGGGGTCATTTGCAACATCTGGAATTCGGCGGAGAGGTACGATGATGTCATGTGCAAAAGGGTTTCTGTTGTTTCTGTTTCTGTGGGCTTTGTGTCGTTCCTTCACAGTGAGATGTGCAGAACAAACAGTGCAGAGTTGTAATGTAAAAGCAGCATGAGGGCACTTTTTTAAAATACTACACTTCTGTTTCTAACTTGCATGCTATTATGTGTGTGTGTGTGTGTGTGGTCCAGGTATTACTCATGTTGTGGGGACCTAAATCTGTTTTGAAAGTCACAGTTTGGGGACTTGTCTTCCTAATGGGGACACAAATCAAGTCCCCATAATCATGAAACATTAAGGTTAAGACATGTTTTAATGTAGTCATAGAGACTTCAGCAGACATTTCATGGTGTGTGTGTGTGTGTGTGTGTGTGTGTGTAGCCAGTCTTACCTTGTAGTGAGTGCTGAGAGTAGGGGGGGGAGTCAGACTCTCTGGGCCAAATTCAACAACGCTGTCCGTCAGGAATAGAAAAGACAGCAGACTTGTGCAATCTCCGATCCCTTTAAATAGAACTGCTCATCCTCCACTCGCTGGCAAACACACAGACAGAGACACGCACAGTGGAGAGAGACAGAGTGAGGAAATACCAGTTATTTGATGCACACGTGTAAGACTGAAAGGTTGTATTGTTTTAAATTCACCACCGTATCCTTGTTCCATCCCTCAGGTACCACTGCCACTCTTTTCCTTTCTGTGCTCGCCTCTTGTTTCGTACAACGCGTGCTGTCACATGCATCTGTTCTTTTGCTATTCTGACCCTCTCTAGACAAAGAAAGACAATGTAATGAGATGTAAGGCAGAAGGGTGAGGAAGGATGGGCCAGTAGCCTTTGACATTAGCTCTCTTTTCCTCTCCTCCTCATGGCCCAGCTCCATCACCTTTGCTATCTGCACTACTGTTCTTTTTTGATACCAAGTACACCAGCATCCTTCCTTTCCTTTCTCTTTCAGGCTGTGTGTGTGTGTGTGTGTGTGTGTGCATGGCTCTGCCTCTGCCTCACCCTCCCTTTTCTCTGCACGCTGTGTCCTTGTATCCCTGGCAACCGATGATATCATTTAGTCCAGAGCTGGGAGCAAGGCCTCCAGTGAGGAGGGGAGTGTTTGCATGTATGTGTGTGTGTGTGTGTGTGTGAGAGAGAGAGTGAAAGGGGGAGGTGAAGGGATGGAGAGAGTCCATAAGATTTCATGTACCGGTATACTTCCTCATTTCTCAGCTCATTCTTCTCAGATGTCGGCAGTGTTTGCACAGCAGCTCTGATGCTGAATAGAGATATTCAGTGAGCGGTGAAGAACAGCCTCAAATCTGCAGACACACTCCAATCCGTCTCATCATTCGTACAAATCAACAGTTTGTCACATTCAAGCACATCTCACCATCTGGAGCTGCTCGCTAGCTGCAGTGAACCACTGCAGATGTGTATCTCTTGCAGAGACTTTATGAGTGCATGTGTGTGTGTGTGTAGTAAGGATCCTGCTTCCTATACCATAAAAGGAAGGATGGGCTGCACCACACCATGCCTGCTTCTGGTGGCTCTTTTTGAGCTAGCTAACACGAGGGGCAGAGACATGAAGGGAACAGATGGAGGGGAAGCGAGAAGCACACAGACAGAGAGATAGAGACTGCATGGACGGCCCACCCCCTAAATGCACGCACATGTATGATTATATTGGATGCAGGCCGGCCTGAAATAGCGTCACTATCACAGAGAAAGAAAGTACAGTACGAGGCGAATATCAATCACATTTCTAAAAATAACATCCCCGCAGCCCCGCTTCCCCCCTCTGCTCTATCCCCTTCTCCCTCTCTGTGAGAGCAGCTTCTCCCGGTGTATGCTCCATAAAGCACAGCCCCTCTGAGGGGTACTGGAATGTACCAAGGCAAGGTCAAGAACGAGAAAGAGGGGTGTCTTTTGCAAACAATACAAAATGTGCAGCTTTTTGTGAACAAAGGCAATGAAGCAGGTTAAAAAGGCACAGCATGCATGCATGCGTGTGTATGTGAGTGTGTGTCTGACACCTGGTTAGTGTGAGGAATGGTAACCTAGAATTGCAAGTCCAGCAGTTACCTATGCCGGCATTCACATGAACTGTAAGCATACATTGAGTTCATGTTGCATAGCACTGATAGTAACACCAGATGTGCTTGTGTGTATTCTGTTTCATAAATAGTGAAGAATGTGTGAGTCAAACATTTGTGCCAGTTATTTTGATAAAACACAACAAAGTGAAAAGCCTGTGTTCAACAGAGTGACCTGAACTTTTAGTGGAGCAAGTGGCTGCACACACAGTTTAGACATTACTCTGGATAAAGATTAATCCTTACAAGCTCCTTACTATTGTGCACCTCCCACTAACACACACACACACACACACACACACACACACACACACACACACACACATGCAGACCTGTAGTGCTCACGTGCAGACAGTGCAGAAATGTGAAACGATGAATGTAGTAAAGGGGAACTTGGTGGTTCCACTTGTAGTTACAATTGAGCTGTATGGAACTGTTGAATATGAGTGTGTGTGTGTGTGTGTGTGTGTGTGTGTGTGCGTGTGTGTGTGTGTATGTGTGTGTGTTCATGCATGGATGTGCAGCCCTGTCTGCATACACTCTCTGCAGTATGTTCAGATCATTCATAACACAAATGACACAGAAAATACACAAATATCAACAAATGTAAACAAACAGAAGAGAAAAGCACACACACACACACACATATATACACACACACACACTACACAATGCATGCAGTAGATTTCCATTCAGCCATAAGCAAAGAAAAGCAACATCCACCTCGCTGATTCTCTTTTACCTCTTTCTCTCTTATTGTCTTGCTTGTGTTTGGTCCTCACGCCCCCTCTGCTCCCCCTTTTCCTCCCGTGCACTCCACGCCACCTCGTCTCACCCGATCCTCTCCTCTGTCTCCTTTCTTCCCCCTCTCCTCCTCTTCCTGTTTCCACACTCCACTCTCTGATGCTGGCTCTCTCATATCACACTGATCCATGTGCAGGGGACCGACGGGGCGGGCCGAGGGGGCCTGCCAATCGCCAGCCGTGAGCCAATGAGAGGGGGAGAGTCTCCTATCTCGCACACATTTTGCAGTGAACAAGAGGAGGCGGGAGGAGGGGAGAAACAGCAGACAGAGAGAGAGAGTGAGAGAGAGAGAGGCATGGAGGGGGCCCTTTAATTCTCTCCTTCCTCTGTGTGTGTGTGTGTGTGTGTGTGTGTGTGTGTGTGTGTGTGTGTGTTAGAGAGTTGGAGCATGGCCAGTACAGTAGAGATATTTTAAATCCCCCCACAGCTGTAATAGAATCTCTTCTAGATACAGACATGTACTACCTTAATAAACTTTCTGTGCACACACGCACATCTCTCTCTCTTCTTACACACACACACAGATTCTCCTTAACATTTTTGGCATGCACTCTTTTCAAATCCCCCAGTAAACGTGGTATTAAAGCAGGACATGGATCCACAATGCACATCACAGTGTCAGCGTGGACAATGCATGTGCCCCTGCTCTGTCTCTGTGCAGCTGAACACTCTCTCTCTCCCTCTCAGTGAAATGGTGACAGACGGGCTGCAAGTGTTGGCTGAGCTCAAATGTCAAGTGACAGGATAACCAGGGGGGAGGTGGGGCTCCAGCTCCTGGTTCAGGAGGGAGGGCCCAGTCTTTGTGGCTCACAATGCAAAAAAGAAAAAAAAGAAAAGAACCAGCAGCACTCACTCACTCCTCTGCTCATTTCACCCTTCAGCGACCAATAACAAGCAGGCAGAGCTGAGGGCCCTGAGTGCAGGGTGGAGGTAGACACGACTCATGAGGGGCCAGAGGAGTGTGAGGGAGAGGAGGGAAATGGTGGAAGCAGACTGCTGACAGATTTCTCTCTCTCTCTCTCTCTCTCTCTTTTCTTTACCTCTGAAGTGCCTTAGCAACAGCCCCTGATCAGCCGAAACCCTATTGGTCCCTGCTCAAACCCATGTGGATATTTGGGCCAATCAGCAGGCTTTGGTGCAGAACTTCTGTGAGGAAATGATGCCCCCTGGTGGCTCAGTGGAGGCCTAGAAACTGTCCCCCTGTAGTTTACGAGCAAAAAGGAGCATCTGCTCTGTTTGGACCTGTAACAAAACCACAAACATGTCATGTTTGGGATCTGACGACAGTCATGATAACAAATGTTGCCCATTAAATTCAGAATTCATCATAACAATGCAGATTAAAGATAAAGTTTAATGGAAATGAATTGAGAAATATGTAACTAATATTCTGATAACAGCTTTGACAAAATCCTCAAAGGAGGAGAAAAGGGAGAAAAGAAGAAAAGAAAGGGAAAACAGACAAGCCTTAAATTATATGTATGTGCGTAATGTATAATGTATATTACTTGATTTCTAAGGAACGTGTATCAGGATATTTAAATCTGAAATACATGAATTTGCATTGCAGAAAATATTTAAATAAAACAATACACAATACTGTATAAATCTCAGTGCACAGGCTAATAACTTTCAGTGTAGAACTACTGAGTAGATTAAAGTCTTAATGTTATTTTGTAAAACTCAACATGATCAGACATCAGTGTTACACTTTTCAGGTTGTATATTTCCATGCATTTGTTGTCATGGAGCAGGAAATGGGAATAAGCGACAATCAAGCCAACACTGCCCCTAAGTGAGCAATATATGTTATTACACAATTGCATGAAAGTGGACACACCAGGAAAGTAGAGAAGATAACATACAGAAAAAAAAGTGCGTACAACATTAAATTGTCGAAAAGTATTTGTTGAATAGTTAAACCTCATTATGTGATTAATGGCTCCAATTCTTATTTATCTAAATTGTTGTTAAATCTCTGGCTTATTGCTCTAATTCAGTCAGACTGACACGTCTATACATTCTACTTTGACTGACTGACTCATTTATGGCAATTACGATAGTAAAGGACTCTGTAAGAGTAATTAAACATTATGAGTTTTATCACTGACTGTTTGAAGAAGAGTAAAAATTGGTGCATGTCCAGTCATGATGAGCATGAACCACAGCAGCAGTAAAGAACATCTCCTGCTGAAGATGAGGCAGCAGGGGGCAGCGGAGCTGGGTGTGCTGCTTGGCCTGAATTTGTAATTTTAATTGGTAAAAATGCTGACAGCTGAAAAATGTCTGTTCACATAACCGCATCATCAGGCCCGGCCACATAAGTTATGAGTGTCATAACTCATGATTAGATCAGAGAGGCAAGCTGGTCGCTCCATGAATAACAACACTCAGTCACTCAAATTGACTTATTAGGGCAGTGAAGGATCGTTGCTCCAGCTAATCTGACAAACACTTTCTATTTGCATGAGAGAGAAGTGAGCAGAGGGCAGCGTAGGACAGCTACAGAAACTCCAAATGCAGCACAGGTGATTTCTTTGACATCTCGACACTGAGGCCCTGACCATCACTGACTGTAGTTTTAGTGAGCGGATCTCAGGATGCATTCAGGAAAAGTTTGTGTGCATTCACACCAGTACTTAGCATTGACCAATCGTATTCTCAGGATGGATGTTAATACCAGGTTTTGAACAGGGTTACAGTGGTTCACAATATTTGAATTTTAGAAGCTGCAGCCTGATTAGATGAACTCAAGTACCAGAAACATCACCAATCCTGTTCCATATATG